ACAGTTATGAACAGTGGACTGTTATCTAACGATTACCAAACAAATTATGTGAAAATTGAAACATAAAAAAATTGAATTTTTTCCAGCTAAATTGGCATCTTGGGCCACTGTGCATCGGTTGCAGTCGTCCCAGAGCTCTTTCAAAGTACGTTTCGTTGGTGAAAAGGGCTCTTTTAAAATTTTTTCTGCCCTGTTCAATATAGAGAACCAAAAGAAGCATTTACGGCATATTATGCTTCATTGCTTTAAAAAATGCAATAGTGCAAAGGACACTGCGATCATTAGAACCGTCCGCAATTGGTTTAAGAAATTTAGAGCCGGCAATCTTATTGGACAACCTATTATAATATATACTGGTGGATCGGTAATTTTTTTTTTTTTTTTTTTTTTTTTTTTTTTGAAAGAGAAGTTATAGTGAAAGGGTTTTCAGAAATAAATAGGTAATTTATTCATTAAAAAATATATATGAACTCAAAATTTATTTTGAAATAAAAAATATTCAATGGAAAACTAAATTGATCCAATTTTTGCATGGTCAAAACTAAAGCAACTTTTTTATTTTTTCTTATACGTAAGCAAATTTTGCTAGTAATCGATAACATAACCATTATTTTTCATTGCAGCAGCACACCAACGAGACATTGAATCAATAAAATGCTCAATTTGATCCTTGGATGTGCTATTTCTTGCATCCTGAACCTTTGGGAAGAGGTTTTGACTGTTTTTTTGTGAAACAACTTTTGATTTTGCCATCTATGATAATCCAAAGATTTTTCTATAGGGTAAAGATCTGAGGATTGTGTTGGCCATTATAAAACTCTGATTTTGGACTCCAGCAACCAATCTTTGACATGTTTTGGTCTATGTTTGGAGGTTATTATCAAGCTTAAACACCCAAATAAGAGGTATATTTTCGGCCTAACTCTAGTTAGGCCGAAACTCTAGGGAGTTTTTCAAAATCAAAAGCAGGGTTTTTACTTTATCTTCATAACGGTTTGAGATATCACCACTCAATGAAAAGGTATTTTTAAAAGCTTTAAAATGATACCCCCAAGAAATAATATATATCCATAATTAGGGTAAAAATACCTACCTCTGGAAAACATTTCAGAAAACCAGCAACCAATCTTTGACATGTTTTGGTCTATGTTTGGAGGTTATGGAGCTTAAACACCCAAATAAGAGGTATATTTTCGGCTTAACTTTAATTTGTTAAAAACGATCAGATTGTTCTGAAATTTTTCCAGAGGTAGATATTTTTATCCCAATTATGGGGATATTTATTTTCTTGTGGGACGTACCCAGTTATTTGACCCGGAAGTTTGGATACCGGTACCCAGTTCTACGAATCCGTTTAATATAAATTGGGTATCATTTTAAAGCTTATATAAATACCTATGCATTGGTTCTAAGGCCCTTATCTTTTGATCCACAACAGATATAGCCAAATATCGCACTATTTTGGAAAGGGCAAATTGTAGTCTATCATTTGAGTCATTGGATTGGAGAGGGATCATAATGGACCCAAATTCAACTTTTATGGAGTTTTTCAAAATCAAAAGCAGGGTTTTGACTTTATCTTCATAACGGTTTGAGATATCACCACTCAATGAAAAGGTATTTTTAAAAGCTTTAAAATTATACCCCCAATAAAAAATATAATCCATAATTAGGGTAAAAATACCTACCTCTGGAAAACATTTCAGAAAAATCTGTTCGTTTTTTTATTAAACAAAGTTTTTCCATATTTTCTTCAACGAAGGGAACAATAGCGTGTTCCAAAACACATTTGTATAAACACTCCGATCCATTACTTCGTAAATCCCGTAAATATATCGAACTCCATACAAAGAAAAACAGTCCAATACCATTATTGACCCTCTTGCATGCATAACAGTACCCTTGCAATACTGTGTCATGAGCCATTAATTTTTGGTCTTTCTCATGGTAATTTTCTTCATGTCTGAGTCTTTAATATTTAACTTTGTTTAATTCGAGAGAATAATTTTTCTCCACTGATTCGAATTCCAATTAGTATGAGCTCCGATTCTTTTCAGAAATTAAAGAACTTTCTTGATAGTTTCCGGGCATGTAGGCCTGCTACCATAGCTCATTAACGTTCTGTTCTTGAGTTTATATCCAACAACAACCTTCTCACAAATTCCGTTGAACTCTTAAATGGGCATTTTTTTACCGCTATGACAATTTGTTGAACATAGCAATAGCAGTGACATCTCTTCTATGGATCTTCCATAAATGGGAGATCTTATGGAGGCCATTTAAAATGGGAGATGTCTCCTATAAATCTGTTCGAAAAATATATTAAAGAACTTATATAAAAAATGTATTAAAGACCTTAGAATTTTGTCGAAAATCGATTTCTGCGAATCTGTTATAGATTGGTCAATCATAAATACCAATAATGTATCCAATTGATCCTCTATGAAAAATATCTTCAGTAGATCATCATTGGATCCGACTATATGCCTTCTATATGCATCAACTTTAAGGTACTCTGTAGCCGGAAAACCTTTTAAAGGCCTCCTGTAAACAGAATGTCACATTACAGGCTTTTTCCGAATATAAGTCTTGATTAAATAATAATAATTTGAAGACCTTTTGGAGGTTATATATCTTATAGATCTCATTACATATCTTATAGATCTATATGCCTTCTATTGTTAAAGTCCGTCTATTTTTATTTTCCGAATGTGGATCTTACAGGGTCATTTACAGCAGCTTTAAGGTACTCTGTAGCCGGAAAACCTTTTAAAGGCTTTCTGTAAACAGAATGTCACATTACAGGCTTTTTCCGAATATAAGTCTTGATTAGATAATAATAATTTGAGGACCTTTTGGAGGTTATATATCTCCTTAGGAAAATTATTACTCAAGAATAATGTTGCCATCACTATTTCCCCATCACTAAACTATTAACTAGTCTACAAAGTAACATATTGTGTTGTTTTTTTTTTATCAAATATTATTGTCGTTATTGTTACTAAAACAATTTTAATATTTCAAAATATTTGAACAAATGTGTTCCTTTTTTTCTGAATACTCTACAAAGTTGTTTTTTTTCTTAATACATTCTCGCGTCACCTTTCCTTCGCGCCCATCTCTCCTCCAAATACCGATATACATACATATTTTAGACATGTTTTTGCTGCTGTTGTTATTACTGTATGCGGGTCTATACATTCATATAAAATATTTGCGTTCTATAATAGATGCAAGCTAGCTAGATGACTGGCTGGTTGGCTGGCGGGCTGACTAGTAAGCAAGTGAGCAAGCAAAACCCCAAACAGCGCCAAAATAGCGCTGTGCTGTCTTCACCGTCGTGGCTGCTGTTGTCTATGTGCGTTTATTTATTTAGCGTTTTTTTCGCTGTTTGCTTTTAAATTTAGCACAAAAATACTAACTGACTGAAGCGATACGATACGCGACGACTTATTCCCAATCCGTTTGTACACAGCACACACACACACGCTCTTGGTACACATCTAAGGAGCAACATTAGCTAGCAAGTGCAGCTGCCCGCTAGGCAAAAAAATGGAACCGAAATACCACCCCTCCTTCCTTCATAGCCAGACATTTGCCATGGAAAAACATAGATGTACATAAGAATGTGTGTGTGTATTTTGGGCTAACTGAAAATGATGGAATCGATGCCAAAACGTCATTATTATTAAGTATTTGGGAAATTTATATTTTTATTGAGAAATTGGAAAATAGATTTTGGGGTACTTTAAACACACAAAAAATATGGGACATTTTTTGAAGGAACAAATACATTTGTGACAATAACTTGAGGATCGATTTCCGAACATTGCCTTAACGAAATTATGGCTTCTAGAATTCCTATGCAAAGTTTGGACATATACTTGTGGCCAAAACTAAAGCAACTAAACTAGCAAGTTTAATAAATGCCGCATAACTTTTTCAAAAGTAAAGATATCGTGTTGGTTTTTCGTACTGATCAACAAATTGTCATAGAATACCCATTTAAGAGTTCAACGGAATTTGTGAGACGGTTATCGTTGGACATAACCTCAAGAACAGAGCGTTAACGAGCTATGGCAGCAAACCCACATGCCCGGAATCTATCAAAAAAGTTCTTTTATTTCTGAAAAGAGTCGTTTTTCGCAAAAGCTCACCCGACTCAGTGCATAAATATTATGCTCTCCGATGTATTAAAGTGTTGAAAAAATTACCGTGAGAAAGTCCAAAAATTAAAGGCTCATGCCACAGTATTTGCAAGGGTACTAGGAAGCATTGAGGATGGTCAATACTGGTATTGGACTGTTTTTTTTTTCTTTTTATGGAGTTCGATATATTTACGAGATTTATGAAGTAATGGAACGAATTGTTTATACAAATGTGTTGAAAAACGCTATGGTTCCTTCGCCAACGAAAATATACCGCATGTTTGGGTATTTCAGCTTGACAATAACCTCCAAACATACACCGAAACATGTCAAAGATTGGTTGACGGAGTCAAAAATCAGGGTTTTTTTAATGGCCCACACAATCGTAAGATCTTTACCCTATAGAAAAATCTTTGGAGTATCATAGATAGCAAAATCAAAAGAGTTTCACAAACTAACAGACATAACCTCATCCCAAGGGTTCAGGGTGCAAGTAATAGTACACCCAAGGATCAAATTGAGTATTTTATTAATTCAATGCCTCGTAGATGTGCTGCCGTAATAAAAAATAAATTTTATGCCATCGATTACTAGCAAAATTTGCTTATTTATAAAAAAATCCAAAAGTTGCTTTAGTTTTGACCAAGCGAAAATTATGCCAATTTAATTTTCCATAGAATATATTTTATTTTAAAATAAATTTTGTGTTTATATTTTTTGTTTTTTAAAAATGAATAAATTGTAATAAATAGGTATACCTATTTATTTCTGAAAAAAATTTTTGAAACTTTGTTGATTATTTTTTCTTATTAAATGTTCCTATTCTAATTGCCAATTTTTTCTCCTTTTCAGATTTTACAAAATTTGGGTAAAGTTGATCGTACTGCAGATGAGATATTCGATGATCATTTGAATAATTTCAATCGCCAGCAACAAAATGCCAATAGATTACAAAAAGAATTCAATAACTACATTAGATGTATAAGAGGTAAGTAACGCGCCATGCTCCCCCATCACAACAAGACACACCCCTACATACCCATTTTGATCCCTTCTTTCTCTCCAACTCTTTCTTCCCTATATTCATATTTCTAGTTTTCGCACCCTATTTTATTTTCTTTCCAATAGTTTTCCTTTGATTTGCCTTTTTGTCTCCTTTATCAAAATTTTCCATTTTCCTCCATATTTTTTTATTTTCCTTCTTAAACTTCTCCCGCTAACTTATTTCATTCTTTCTTATGTCTATATCTCCGATAATTTATTTATTTTTTCATCTATCCTATTTCTTAACTTATCCCATTCTTTCTTATTGCTATCTCTCCGATCATTTCTCCTTTTTATCTGTCCTATTTCTTAAATTTTCCTTTTTCCCGTCCATCCACCTCAGTCCCATTCAATAGAAGAGAATAAAAGGATTCCATCTTATCATTACCTCCTGTCTTCAACTCATCCCACATTGCTCCCTACCCTCCGTACATTCTGTGTATATCTTCCTCCTCTGAATATTTTCATTACTACTTAGTTTAGCCCATAACATTTCTCATTCCCTTCAATTATTTTTTCCTCTATTTTGGACCTCATCGGGATGGACGATGTCGATTCCATTGTTTATCTCTATCTTCCTTCTACCGCTGTATAACTTCTCTCTATCACTCTTTCTTTATTCCTTTGCTTGTGATTTCGTCTCCATCGTTCCCTTTCTCCATCTATTTTAATCCGAAATTTCAATATTTCCGTGTCCACTTCTCTTTCTATATTTGCCTACATTTAGCCCTCTTTATTTAAATTTTCTATATTTCCATCTTATCTCAGTGCCCCTCTATTTCTCCTTCCACTTTTTTACTCTTTCTGTGGCCTTCTTTATTTTCCTTCTTATTGTATTCGTCTTTGTTTTCTCTATATTTTTCCTCTACCATTCCAAACCCGCCGCTTCCCACCGCGCTCGACCTCGTTCCCAAAATGTCCCTTTCTTTCTCTCTCTCTCTCTCTCTCTCTCTCTCTCTCTCTCACTCTCCCTTCCTTTTCACATTTTATCCCCGATCCCTTTTTCTTTATCAAACAATTTATTTGTTATTTTTCTTTATTTCATTACTCTCCGCTTTTCAATTTTTCATTTTCTTATATATCTCCTCCCTGTTTTATTTACTCTTCCATTACCTCCTTCTACCATTCATTTCTCCCTATTTTTCTCTTCCTCGAAGTCCTCTCTTTGTTTCCTCTTTCATTAATTTTTCACTCTTTCTTTTTTGTTTTCCCCTTTCCCTTTTTTGTTCGTTCTTCCTCCATCTTTGCATACTTTTTCCGCTATTTCCTTTTTCTCTTTTCCCCTTACTCATTTCATTTATCCTCTTACGTCTTTCTATCCACTTCCTCATTTAAAATCTCAGGAATATCTAATCCCCTCTGTGTCCTCATTTTCCCTTCCCATCTTTTTGACTTTTCCCATTTTTCTTTCAATTTTCCCTAAAAGTTTACCCATCTTTACCCACTGTTTTTTCTAACATTGCTCTTTTCACTTTCTTCCTCTTTTGAAATCCACTAAATTCCCCCATTTCTTGCTCCGGTCCATCTCCCCACCGATCGATATCGATTATAATTTGTTTTCTTTAATTTTTGTTACAGCTGCACAAATCGCATCCAAATCCTTGATGGATGCCATTTTCGAAATTTACGAACCCCAATGGAGCGGTTATGATGCTTTAAGTGCACAAGTCCAATCGGCCGAATCATTATGGCAGGATTTCTCACACAAATTGGCCGATCAAGTATTGATTCCATTGAATACCTATACAGGACAATTTCCAGAAATGAAGGTGAGACGGAAAAACTTTTTAATTTTATTTCATGAATTTCTAATTATTTTTTTTTTTAATTAATTTAGAAAAAAGTCGAAAAACGCAACAGAAAACTTATCGATTACGATAGTCAACGTCACTCGTTCCAAAGTCTACAAGCCAATGCCAATAAACGTAAAGATGATGTTAAGCTGACCAAGGGCCGGGAACAATTGGAGGAAGCCAGACGCACATATGAACTATTGAACACCGAATTGCACGATGAACTACCGGCCTTGTATGAATCGAGAATATTGTTTTTGGTAACCAATTTGCAGACTCTATTCGCCACAGAACAAGTTTTCCATAATGAAACGGCTAAGGTAAGAATCTCACGATCTCTAAATTTCTTTTTAACATATAAATACATTTTTAATATATTTTTATTATTACAGATCTACTCCGAACTTGAGGCCATTGTTGACAAATTGGCTACAGAATCACAACGTGGTTCAAATACCTTGAGAAAAGTGACATGTAAGTCCCAATTGATTTTTTAATATTTTTTCAATGCAATTTAATGTAAATTAAATTTTTATATTTCTAGCCAATGCCATTAAAGCTTCCAGTCCTGTACAATCACCAGTCAAACAAATGAACGATGCCAACATCAGCAACAGCATTCAATATCAAAATACCAATGGTTCTACCAATCGTAAGTATTGCTTAAAAACAATATAACAAAATTTGTGTAAAACGAGGAAAAACTAAATTCCCCTTTTGTCCAAATTTAGTTGCTTAATTTGTAATTTTTTTGCGAACAAAAAAATTTATTTTTGTAAAATTTTTGTTGTTTGTTATTTTTTAATTTGTTTTTGAGTTTGTTTTTTATTTTGAATTTTAATATTTTTAATTCGTTTATTAGACGTTGTTGTTTTTGGAAAAAAAACGCTATTAACTCAATTTGTTTTGGTTGAAAAATTTTAGTTTATAATATTAATTCCATTACTTACTAGAGAATCTTTAAAAAAAAAATTAATGATTCTCAATTTATTTTTAGAAATTCCATTTAATTTAACTGAAAAAATTTGATTTTGTTTTATTTTCTTTGCTTTTTCCCCCCACATTACTATTATTATTGTTTCTTTCTCTTTTTTTGTGTATTCTTGTTTTAAAATTGCCAAAAAATAATAGTTAATTAATTTCAAAAATCATAAACTGCAATATACAACATACATTCGTTTCCATAACGTTTGCAATATACATACAATATATTTTCGAAATGATTTTAAATGTATAATTTAAAGCTTCTTTGAAACATATATCCTTATTACAAATATCAAATATAGATTGCTAGTTTAAAATAAATATAAATAAATAATTATTTTAATCACATGTATATTTCTTGCTTTCAACTTATTATTGTTACTATTTTTTGTATATATAATTGTTGCATATTATTATTATTATTTATTTTTTTTTTTTTTTTTGAGTTTAAAGAAAATTTCAAAAATGTTACTTTGAAAAATTCCCTCTTGACCTTGTCCTTTTATTAGTGTTATTTCTAGTGAACTTATAGTCATCCTTTTTACAAAATTAGACTGGACTACCGACCATGTGGTATTCTATACAACTGCCAGAGTAAAGTTCTCATAAATGTGTAACGAACTTAAACCCAAGTCCAGGCAAAATTTCGCACCATTTGGCCATTCCTTCGGCCTCTAATAACAAACTATTAAAAGAATCAGACCCATGAAAATATTTTAGTATCCGTATATTAGTATTCTTTGGACCAAATTCGTTTCAGCCAATTTGGAGTCATCTGTCTGCCTGCCTGGGTGGCTGATGCGGACGATTACTCTTAAAGGTAGTAACCAATTTCATCTAAACATTGCACATCGTATCAAGTTCGTAAATCGGGAATATCGGTCCACTCCTTTAGCACCTCCTACACAAAATTGTCAATATGAAAATTAATTTTGTAATATAACATGCGAACGGACTATCCGATTTGATTTAACTTGGTACAACCTTTTATCTTTACCAAGCCTAGATCAAGTCCGAAGATGGGACCCATTGGTCCACTCCTTCTGATACCTCCCCCACAAATGGTCAAAATTTTCCATATAAGAGAATTGAATTTGCGATTTGAACCAAACTTTGTAGAACGTATTTTCTTCACCAATCCCAGATCAAATCCGAAGATGGGACCCATTGCTCCACTCCTTGTGGTACCTCCCTCAAAAAGGGTCAATATTTCAAAAACTTGTAAATATTATTTAAAGCTAATTGAATAACCGTTTTGATCAATATTAAATCCTAAACCTCTTTGACAAAAACATAACTCATTTAAAGCGAATAATAAAACCTTCGCAAACCATAGGCTTTTTTACTTGTTTTCCTAAGTTTAGATTCTGATAAATATCGGTCAACCTTTTGGTATAAGACCTTAAATATAACGGTGGCCCCAATTGTCGGTACTTTGAGGACTTTGGATACATTTCCAACCGATTGACTTCAATTTTTATACCCTGTACCCCAGTGTGGTGTCACACTGTGGTATATACCCTGTGCATACGTTTGTAACAGGCAAAAAGAAACGAGATAGACACATGGTACCGTCCGTCTGTCTGTCCATGTTAAATTGTAAAGAAAGTACATATCGCATTTATGGTCCAAATTTGATGAAATTTCACACAGCTCATTTCTTTGACCCTAGGACGAGCCCTATTGAAATTGAGAAAAAGCGCTCAGAATTAGATATAGCTCCCATATATATATTCACCCGATTTAAGGTACATGGGGCACCAAAGGCCTTATATATCTTTCGATTTGCACAAAATTTGTCATATCGTATTGAATTAAGTCTGGAATTATGTGTAATAAGTTTGGTGAAAATCGGTTCAGTTTTGTATATAGCTCCCATATATATTTTCATCCGATTTTATGTAAATAGTGAACCAAAGTCCCTAAATTTCTTTCGATCTGCACGAAATTTGGCATTGCGTACTGAATTGAGTCTTCCGATGTTATTTAAATTGTGCACTATATATATTTTCCGAACTGTTTGGGTAACAAGTTTATCTACCAAACGTTTTAAATATTGGACTAATTGTAGACCTCTATGTATATTCTACAAAAGCCTTCTCGATCTTTTAAATGCAATTAAACAATCTTAGGGGTTCTTCCCTGCCTTAAAGTATTCTACTGATATAATTAGAAAAATTGGCATATGTTCGTTCATTTAGTTTTTCAATAGACTTCAAAAATTAACTATAAACTATATAAGCCATCTGAACCCAAGGTAAATGCCTCCTATGAAAATGGTGACGAAATCCCAAACCATCTATGAAAAAATCCCCTTTTTTCTATTAAAAATATTTTTGAAATTTTCTATTTATTATTTACAAACAAATTTGTATGATTTCTTTTATTTTGGCAATTTAAAATATACTCTAAACAATTTAATTTGTAGCAATAAGTGAAAGAAAAAATCTAACCTCAATATTTAAAATACATTCCATAATCTAATATATTTTTTCACATCATTCGGCGGTGTGTTTGAAAATATTTATTTCATTTTGTAGAGAGTTATCCCAGTTGGTGTTTGTAGATATGTTTGGGAATTAGACAAATTAAAACTCATAATTGGTTATATATTTATACTAACTAGCAGGTTGTAAAGGTATATAAAAAATCTATAATAGTAGAAAATAATTAAATAAAAATATTAATGCCATCAAAGCTATAATTATCTTGGGTGGTTCATAAGTCGAATCGATATTTTAAGATATTTTAAGCATAAAAAGATAATATAACGATGAATAAAAAATCGAATTTTGAATCAAAATGATTTTATAGGGAAAAAACACTTTTTGAAAAGTGGGAGACTCGAAAATCGAGATAGACCTATGATTCCTTCACCAAAGTTGCTTAGAATTGTCCATAGAATCATCCTAGGGGCTGGTTTTAATCGAATTTTTCGGCTCCATACAAATTGGCCAACCCTAGTGTACACACTGTTTCAATTGAATTTTCAATTAAAATATAGTTGAAAAATATCATTATGAATTCTAATAATTATTTTTAACCCAATACTACATGCCAAGATCAGCAAAAATTAAATAAAATAATATAAAAAAGAAAACCAGTGGAAGGTTTTTAAGGGCTTCACTTGCACTTGTTGCGTTAAATTGTTTACCATTTTTCTATACTCAAGCGATTAAATTTGGCAGAGAATTGATTGGTATATTCATTTTCCCCCAACTAATAAAGAGAATAGGCTTTCTCGTTGATCATCGGTTACTTGGTTTGTAAGATTTTTGATGTTTTCTATGATCAAACGTTCTCGCTTTTTTTGGTTATGGACATTATTGCACTTTATCGAGTTTTTTTGGCGCAATCCTTTCAAGGAAAATCAAGCTAGGCATGGGTAACACACATTCAAAGCTACAAACAACAATGGAAATACTATAAAAAAATACTGTTTTAATATCCAAAAAACTTCGTATTTGATGGCTTCACACAAACGCCTAAAAGTATGCTTTACATTTCGTACATTGTCATTACTGTTAGCAGAGCAGCTATTGTAATGAGGAACATCATGTGATAATTAAAACAAACAGTGACAACATTTGGAATGTATTTTATATAAAGGGGTATATATATTTATAAAACTACATACATAAATATTTATTTAAGAAAACAAATTTTATATATGCTTTGCAAAAATAAATACTATATTTTACTTTTACTGCTTGCTGCTTCGCTGGGCATGACAACGAAAACAAAATCAAATTTTTCTTTTAAATTAAAAGATCTTTTAAATTTTTAGTTTAGTATTTTCTTTTTTTAATTAAAAGCAAAACAATTCGACAACCGAAATTTGAAAGTAAAAAAAAACCAAACAAAATAATAATTATGCATGAGCTGAGCTGAAAATGTTTTATTTTCTTTCTTTTTTCTATTCCCTACTTTTTTTCCAACACTGCTGCAATATTACTTGACTTGATGGTTGTGTTAATGATGATGATAATAATAATAATAATCATAACAAACAAAATAATAATAATTATGATGTTTAATTTTATTTTTTTAATTTCGTTTTATATGTAAATTTGTGTTGCATTTATTTTGTTTTCGTTTTTTTATTATTGGAATGTATTCAATTTTAATTTTTCTAATATCACTTGAAAAATAACACACAAATCAAAAACAAAACATATGTTTTTGTGCACAATTCTATTCAAATGCATCATTTCAAATTGAAAATCAAATCCCAAACACCATAAATATTATATGAACAAAAAATATATATAAAATATTTCCAACAACAAATCAAATCAAAATAAAATATAAAAAACACACACACAAAACAAATCAAAAAATAGCACCATCACCAAGTACTTCTTCTACACAAGAACCCACCAGACCTGATAATGTTTCTCCAACACCAGAAACAGCAGCCGCAGCTGCAGCAGCCGCCGTCGCAATGCCACCTAGCTCACCCAGTGGTCCAAGTGCCGAGCAAAGAACAACGAGTATTGGCAATTTGGTAAGTGATGCCACCGCCGTGGATTCGAATACCAATACCCCACAACATTCAGTGAGTAATGCCAATGGCAATGCAATGCCTGAACTGGTGGCCAGAAGATCAACATCGACTAGTGAAGAAAAACCCGTAGCAGCTACTAGTGCCAACAATATGGAAAGCAGCACCAAAGATTTGGATAAGGATATGAATAATGCAACTAGCACAACGATAACCAAGACAGTTACAACTGAGGAGAAAATTACGAAAACCACCACCGATGGACAACAGCAACAGCTCAATGGTAATGAAAATGGCAATAACAATGTTGATGAGCATGAGGAGGCAGTTGCTGCCACTACCACAAATGGTAATGCTAACGATAGTGATTTAACAACTTCCCTGCCAGCCAGAGGAACCAAATCCAATAATGCCAATGCCAATAATATGCCTAATTCCAATGCAGCCGCCGCCGCAGCAGCAGCATCAGCAGCCAGTGATGAAAAACAATCAGGAGGTAATAATCATTTGAATCATGACAATGATCTGAATAGAAATAGAAGTAGCAATTTAGTTGAACAGAGTAAAAATCCCTTTGAAGATGATGAAGATGAGCAAATCTACGAAATACCCAAGGGTGAGTACCTAACGTTCTTCTTCGTCCGTTTTACTCTGATGATGGTTGTGTCTGTCTGTCTGTCAATCTCTCTGTACGTTTTTTATCTCTCTGCCTGTTGTCTGTTTCTCTAAATATATGGAAAACTATTGAAATACAAATCTGGATTTCACAAATATTTAGCCTGTGGCTATGTGATATGCCAAAATAATGTATCTCTCTGGGGTATTGTGATTGTGTTTTTTCTCATTTATCACTTTCTATTATATATTGTCCTGGCCTGTAATATCCTATAAATATTTTTTCTTTTGAATGTATATTCAAAATTTAAATTATGTATAAATACATGTGTGGTGTGTATGTTGAATGCAATCTGGAAGAGAACATATATTTCCTCTATCAATGAATGGATCGGGGAACTAATGAAGAATAATTCTTCTTCTGTCCAATAAAAGTATAGCCCTTGGCCTTTTTTATAGAAGACCTCCCCCTCTTCTATCATATTGAAGAGCTCGTCCTCTTCTATAATATAGAAGAGCTCGTCTTCTTCTAGGAGATCCTGTCCTCTTTTTTCCTACAGAAGTGCGATTTTTGTTCTATACTTTAGAATAATAACTTCTCTTCTATCCCATAGAAGCGTAGCTCTTCTTCTTCCCCACGAAAGGACCCCTACTGTTCCAAAGAAGAGCTCGCCTTCTTGAGAGCTTGTCTTCTTCTATGTTGTACACCATCACCATCCTCTTCTATGCATTCTTCAATACATACCCACACATGTGTTTTATATTAGTGTACAGTATGTGTTCTCTTTATTTTAAATAATTGGTTGTGGTAAATGTTTGTTTCAAAATTTTTGTTTTTGTATGTACAAAATATTGTTTATTGGTATGATACTACTCCTTCAAACTCCTGGTGCACCCTGTTTATGAATCAGCACTGGACTCATTACATGGAATGGAATGTTGTTGTTATAACAACACATAAATCACAAGTAAGATAATTGGGTACAACAAAAAACAAAACAACATAAAGAATATACATGTAAATATTTCAATACAAAATACAAACATACATAATTATTTACAGGATACAGCAACAATATTTATGCATGGACAAAAATCTATAAGAAAAAATAAATTAAAAAATTATGCAATTAAATTTAAAATATCAATACCTTATACATATACACTGAGCTATTGAGTGTCATGAGGTATTGATAGAAAAAACTGAGGCATATTTTTAGGATGAGGGACAGGAAATTTTGTTTTGGTTTTAGAAGTTCAACAAATATTTGTTGAAAGTCCAAACGAAGCGTAGATTTGGAAAGAGTAATTGTTTTGAAGCTCTTGTATTTTAAAGAGTATTTTTCATGTTCAAATTAAAATATTTTTATTAAAAGATCTAACAGGGGTTCAAATTTTCCAAAATATATTCTAGGGTCTAACAGATATGAACATTTTTATAAAAAACATTGTATAAGTCTTTAGATGCTTAGGTTTAAAAAATCTATTTTTGAAGGTCGAACTGAACTTTAGATTTAAAAAAATGTAAATTGTTTGAGTATCTAACCGAGTAAATTAAATTAGTAAATTAAAAATATATATTTTTTGAAAAAATGAAATTATATTAGTAGATTAAAATAAATAACAGAGTCGATTAAAAAAATGTTTGAAGGTCTAATAGAAGCGTAGATTTAAATAATATATTTTTGTGGGTCTAACAGAAGCTAAGAATCTTAAAAAATATTTTTTGAAGCGTGGATTTTTAAAAAAATATTTTTAAGGCGTAGATTTAAAAAAAAAACATTTTTTGGAACGTAGATTTTTAAAAAAATATTTTTTGGAACCTAGATTTTTAAAAAATAGTTTTTGAAGGTCTAACAGAAACTTAGATTAAAAAAATATTTTTTGAAGGTCTAACAGGAGCTTAGATTTATAAAAAAATATTTTTTGAAACCTTGCTGAGCTTGCTGAGCCGATCTAGACGTGTGTGTCCGTTCTTCCGTCCGTCCGTCTGTCCATTATAATTTGTAAACACGATACAGACCACAGTTATGGACCAATCTTCACGAAATTTTGCATGTAGGATGGGTTCTGGCCAATGATGACCCCTATTGTTTTCGGTAAAGATCGGTTAATATTTAGGGGATGAAATGCACCAAATACTTTATTTTTGTCTGATTTTCTGGTCTCTCCAGAGTCCGAACATCGTGAATTTTTACATGGGGAATGGGATCGGGCCAAAGAATATGCATGCCAGTTTTTATACAGATCGGTCAATATTTAGCGGGTCAAATGAACCCTGACTTTTGTGTGAAAAATTACAAAATTTGGCGTATATAGTTACTCCTGAGGGACATAGACCCGAGAAGTTGATAGTATATTCAAGAGGAGTGGTTGACCTTTAAATTGATACCAATTATATTGTCGTATGTACTCGAATGTCGGGTTACACTTAAATATGTACAGGTGCTTACGTATTCATATATTATTTAGGACAACGAGGACAACGCCTATATTTTTCGGTGATGATCAGATAATAATTTTTCGATGAAGTGTACCGAAAACTTAATTTTTTATGTTTTTTTTCGAGTTGATCTATAGGCCACAATTATAAGCCGAACATCACAACACAACCCACGGTGAATGGAATCCGGACAAGTAATTAGAAGGGCTGTAAGGAATATTGGGAATATTCGGAAAATATGTCAGTGTAAGAAAGAGGTGCTATTGATTTCTAATCGGTCAAGAGGGTGCAAATATAGCGAAATATTGCCAAATACACATCCGCAGAAAGTTAGAGTTTCGTGGTAGTTGTGTAGGGTATCGTATGGTCGGCCCCGTCCGACTATACTGCTACGCTCACTGATTAAAGAATATTTTTGGGAAGGCTTCCCAGTTACGTTTATCTTTAAATAATATGTTCTAAAGAACTAATAAAAGATTGGAAAATAATATTTTATGAAAGCCTAACATTATAGAAGCCTGGATATTGAAAGAATATTTTTTTTGGAGTTTTGTCAGTAATCTGAGTGTTTAAAGAAACATTTTTGGGAGGTCTATCAGTAGTGTAGATTTTTAAGGAATATTTTCTAGAGGTCTGTCAGCAGCATGTTTTTGTAGAATATTTTTTGTAAAAGATGTTTGAATTTATTTTATGAATATTTATAAGAGGTTCTTCAGAGATTCTTGGTATACCAGAATCTTGGATCATTTTGGAGTATATTTACAGGATCTATTAGGGACGAGGCTTGCATCAAGGATATTTCGTTAGTTTACAAAAAGCGTGTGAAACAAAACCTTGGATTTTAACCACGTTTGCACATATCTGGGAATTAATACATTATTTTATTTTTTTTAATATATCAACTATAAATATCGCATAATATTGTAATACTATTAAGGTAAAACAAAATATATGCATCATCCTCATTTTTAGTATATTCAAATTCATAAAAATTACATTCACCCTCTTTATCAAAACAAGAGAATTACTAAAATTGTTTTCTAATTGAAAATCAACAATCTAACCAACAAAGAAGCAACCCACAGTTTGCAAGACAAAGCATGCTAATATGTGGCATGTTTTATTTTTGTTTGTTCAATGATTGAACTACTAAACCTTTTTTTACAAAAAAAAAGAACTGATTAACACCCAACTAACCAAAAATTGTATAATGGCATTAAAAAAAAGGATGAAACGAAAATGAACTGACTTGCTGCCTCACCGCCGCCTGCCCTTTTTTGATGTATATTGTACAATTTGCACCCTATACTCCTACTACTTACTACCCTATACTATTTTCTGTTTCGTTCGATTTCCCTCTTAGACGAAACAACTATTAACACCGATGAAATGCGCTTTCTAAATGTGCCTGCAAAAATACAAATACAATTAGAATACAAAGAAATATAACAATGCCTTTTTTGTTTAGATCTTAGTCTTGTTTATTTATAATAGTTGTTGTTGTTGATGTTCTTAAAATTGATGTTTAATTTTTTGTTTTTTTTTTCATCCCCGCCAATTCGCCAATTTTTTTAGATGCCACTACTACCGATTTGCCACCAGGTGTTCTTTATCGTGTAAAGGCCACTTATGGTTATGTCAAGGAAGATGTTGATGAATTGAGTTTCGAGGTTGGCGATATTATTCGTGTTATCGAATACGATGATCCTGAGGATCAGGTAAGCTATATACATATATATTTTTGTTTTTTGTTTAATAAATTGCCTTCATTTTTTGTCTCGCAGTTGGTTTATGAAGTTGGGAAACATTTCGATTTGAATTATTTAAATAATATTTTTTTGGAAGACACAGAGAAGTGGAGATTTTGTAAAGAATATTTTTGGAGGATTAAAAAAAACGACTATCTGAACAGATATTTTTACGAAAAGTCTGAATTTTTAATAATTATTTTTAAAGTCCAACAGAAGGGTAGATTAAAACAAAATATATTTTTAAAGGCATAACAGAAGATTTAAAAAAATATGCTTTAAAGGTCTAACAAAATTGTAGAGTTGCCAAAATAGGGCAGTTGCCAATCTCCTACTAGGCGCGTCTTTCCGGTTGGCGGATGGGATCGGCTTTTCTCTTAGATCGACTTTTTTCTGCACTTCGTGGAAACCTTGGGGATCTTCGGATCCCCCGTGGACCAAAATGGATCGGGGTAGTGCCCTTAAATAAATCAACTGCGATGGGTAAAAGAAGTAAAAATAATAAAGATCCGGCTGTTCTAGGTGTGGATGCCTTGGCACCTGCAGCTGTATCTGTTACAAGTGCAACAATTCAATACCAAAACGTTGACGAACCGGCTATTCCTTTGGCAAATGAGCATGTTAAGACTGATGAAAATCAGTCTCTGGCTGACAGGACTGTAGTTCTGGGAGGGGACTACTTACACGGGACTCTACGCGCTATCCGTGATAGTCTAGAGGGGCAAAGTAAGGAACTCTTCAACCAGTTAGGCAGACTGGTACCGGAAGAGCAATGTGGGGATACGCTTCCGAATCTCACCCTAACTGATGCTACTGAATCTCAACCTAACTGATGATGAGCTGGACACCATGGTGATCCCAGCCAAGTCTACACAGGGGGATTGCTGTAGTAGTAACGAAGGAAGCGCAGACCTTGTTGACCGACCGACTTCCAGTCTGACTACAACGGGTCTTGTGTCGGCACCCGCCGCAAACTTCAGAGGCAATCTGCAACGAAGGTGATGGAGAATCTGTTGATATGGGGAATCTGTTGATTGGGAAGGCCCGAGAAGTAGCTGATGCGAAGCATTACAAACGTGCTGTTTCGTATCTCCGCAAATTCGTGGGGCGAGTCGCGAATTTGATCTCGGAGGGGGAGGTACACCTCATCAAGGGTAAGATGAGATCCGTAAGGAAGTTCGAAAGAATCTATCCGCAAGCTCTCCTTCGTGAACTCGAGATGGATAGGATCTCCCTCCTGAATCCTACTACTCGCTCAAAAGTGGTAGAATCGGCGAAGCCCCCTGTCTCTGACAAAGATGCTAAGCCGACTTCTGACCTGAAGCCCAGCTCTAAGCCGAAACCAAGTTAGAATTTACAGGAAAAGCCAATTGAGAACATCCCGAAGCAATTTAAGGAATATGTATAAGAATTCACAGAAGTGCGGATTCATTATCGAATATTTTGAAGTACCCAGGCGAAGTGAGGACCAGATCTAATGGTCCCAAAATAGACGTGGAATTTGAAAAATTTATTTTTTAATGGTCTCAAAATAGGCGTGGAATGTTTAAAATTATTTTTTTCACATTCCCATCATATTTTTAGGGGTCTATTTATAGGCGTGGATTTTTAAAAATTATTTTTGGGGTCTATTTATAGACGTGGGCTATTTACAACTATTTTTAGAGAGGTATTTATAGTCGTGGATTTTTGAAAATATTTTCAGGGGTCTATTAATGGGCGAGGATTTTTAAAACCGTTTCAGAGCTCTATTTATAGGCGTGGATTTTTTAAAATTATTTTTTGGGGTCTATTTAGAGGCGTGGATTTTTTAAAACTATTTTTAGAGCTCTATTTATAGGCGTGGATTTTTAAAACTATTTTTTGAGCTCTATTTATAGGCGTGGATTTTTAAAACTATTTTTGGGGGTCTATTTATAGGAGTGATTTTTTATTATTTTATCAGGGTCCCAACATAGGTGTGGATCTTTTTTAAAATTATTTTATCATGGTCCCAACCAGCAACGTACACAGGATTTCATTTCGGGGGGGGGGGGGGGGGGGGGGTGGGAGGCCCGGTAGTACAAAATGAAAAAATTCGCTGTTGCAAACATAAATTTACTGTGAAAAAAAATCATTTCGGGGGGGGGCCCGGGCCCCCCGGGCCGCCCCCCTGCGTACGTCCCTGGTCCCAACATAGACCCAACAGAAGTAGAACCTTTTTCCAAAACCAAATGAACCAATTTGTTTTTTATGTGCTTTAATTTGTTAAACCCATGTTTTGTCTGCAAACAGCTTTACCGAAAAATGTGTGTGTGTGTACCGATCCTGCCTCAAGCAAAAACAGCAAAAAAACGCATGACTCCTTGTTCCTATTGAATGTCAACTGATCTCCGGTATCATTAATGCCATATCTAATGTAGTTTTTTATTTCAAATTTACAGGAGGAAGGATGGCTGATGGGTGAGAAGGAAGGTACAAACGAGAAGGGTCTCTTCCCAGCCAATTTCACAAGGCCCATTTAGGGGGCAGGCAGTAGAAGAGGCGCTGGCAACGTCGGCATCACCAGAACAAAACTCAACAACAGCAACAACAACAACTGTAAACGGTTAAAAAACCAAAAATTAATCAAAATGTATTCAGAGAGCAGCACACAAACAGCAACAACAGCAATTAAACGCAAAAACAAAAACCATATGAATCAATAAAAAAAATATTTATTTAATTTATGATATATATATTAGAACAAAAAACAGCAACAACAACAAAAATCATCATTGAAAAATATACCGAAACATAAAACAAAAGAAAATAAAACTCCATAAATAAACCGCAGTAATTTTTAGTAGAACAAAACCTTACCCAAACCCCCTCTAAAGCAATACACAAACAACAACAAATACCGAAACATAGTAGCAATAGCAACAAAAACAATATTATACATAATTTTGAAAATTTGTTTTTCTTTTGTAGAAAACAATGTAGAAAGCTTCAATTTACAAAACAAACAACTTTTCTTCATTTTCTTATTAAAAAAATAAAAAAAACAAAGCAAACAACAACAAAACGCACGTTGATAACGACGATGATTCAATTTTTGAACCATATTTTTATTTATTTATGATCAATTTTTCTTCTTCTTATTTTCGTTTTATTTCATTTGACTAAAAAAACGTAAACATTTTAATTATTTGTATTAATTTATTTATTTTGATTTTTTTTCGGACATTATTATTTATTCAAAAACAAACTGTTTTTAAAAACGTAGAAGTAAATACCAGTTATTGTTTTTTGTTTCTGCTTCTTCTTTTCTTTAAATTTTAATTGTTTTTCTTTTCTTTCCTTCCTTATTAATATTAATGTGTAAAAGGCAAAAAACAAATAAATTAATTAAAATCAAAAAACACTAAATTAATAACAACAATGAACAGACTTACATTTTTTGTGCAACATTTGGCCAAGTAATATTTATTATTAATAATGATTAATACCGAACATATATACATACATTATATATATTATTAATGACAACAACAACAAGAAAAAGAAACAACAATTTTTTTATTACTCTATTATTATTGAACAAAATAAGTCTTAGTTTATAAAACAAACAGAAAGAAACAAATGAAAAAGAAGAACGTACGTGAATATATATAATGCAAGCATAAAAAAAAACAAACCAACAAAAATAAAATAAACATTATTAATTGTTATTGTTAATTTAATAAAAAATTTACATAAATAAAATAAAAATCCCAAAAAAAAAAAACAACCAAATTGTATTTTTTATTTGAAGAATATATTTTGAAGGAAACGTACAAAATAAAATATAGAATATTTTTTCAGGGATTAATAGAAGTGGGGGGTTTACAAGGGTATTTTTAAGATTCAATAACATTTTTCCAAATGCAACATTAGAGTGCATTTTTTTAAAAAAAATTTCAACATCCAAAACAGGAGCAGATTTAAAAAAATATATATGTTTCGCATGAATCATCACAGAGTATGATTTTTATGATTATTATTTTTTAAAAGAAAGCAGACCCAGATTTATTTTTTATCAATGTTACAGCATTAAATTCAGTGTGTTCCGATTTTAAAAGTTTTAAATTCTTCCCAAATATGTTCTTAGTTTTTTTCAGTTTCATGTTTTGTCTAATATCACATCATAAAGAAATTTTTGAGGTAATGAAAATACAATTGAACTTCTAGATAATCAATTGGATGGGTGCCGATTAATATATTTATTAATTCCTCACACTGTCAATCAAACAATATTAAAAAGTGACCGTTATTAAAAAAGTCGATAATATCAGTTTTTGCATTGCCAACATTCCATGCACATTGAAGTAGCATTACCACAATTTGTCTTGAACTACCAACAGTCACTGTTGGTTGGTAATTCATCATCACTGGTAAACGGCATTACCACACATATCAGACACTGTTTACACAAACGTTTTTTAAAGCTTTCTTTGAAATGTTTTCCCCGTACTTTTTTTAATAACAAAGCTAGTAAAAGAACGAAATATAAAAATCTGTATGAGAGAAAAAAGTGCAGCAAGGTAAACTATTTTGACACTTCTGCAACTAGAAATATTTAAACAAACAAAAAATTTAATAGAATTTTTCAGAAAAAAACTAATTTTAAGTGATGATAAGCTCGTTGGAACTTTTTTAATGATGAAATGATGTGCAAAACGTATCATCTATTAGAAGGCATTTAAGAGATAAATCCATTCCATTAGAACTACCATCCGTACTGTGAGTAGATGTTAATGTTTGGAGAAATGATCAATCAACTGCTCATTTTAGCTTTAAGGCGTATTTTCGGCTACCAAAAGATGCCGTTGTGTACTTAGTTGAAGCATTAAACCCTGGTTTCCCAAAAGGCTGACGGTCAACAGCAATTCCTCCTCACTTAAAAGTGTGTGCAGCTCTGAGTTTTTTTTTTTTTTGCGGAGGCAATGACTTCAACCTTGGCATGCGTGAAATACCAGAAAGGTAAAGAATAAACAGCTCTGGAAATATTACACCATCCTGAGGAACTACCTGTATCACTATACGGGGTTTGCACTTTTTTCCCATACTCTACGCACGATTGACATCCACACAAGTTTAAAAGAAAGAATTATCGACGTCCTCAAACGGTACGGAATGATTGACGGTATCAAAGCCCTTTGATAGTTTAAGGTCTACCATCACTGTTCTATGGCATGTATTGTACTAACTTAGTCCTCGATTTATACGAGTGATGATTCGCAACTGCATAGTTGTCTCTAACGATGGAGAGGAGTAAAGGGGATACAGGGTTCGAGAGTGACTTAACACTACACAAATTCCAATGTTGTAACAGCGACTAATTCTCTGACACTGCGAACTACTTGTTTCACTATACGGGGTTTTGACATTTTATTCCGAACATCAACGTACGACTGACATCCACACAAGTTTCAATCTCTGAAACCTTGCTAGTTCCCTTCCCTTTGGTTAAGGAAACTGTAGCATTCAGATGTTGTGAAGTCAAGTGGTCCGCTTATGGAGACAATTTTGGGGGGAGGGCGTCTGATCGAAGTGAAATGACGGACTGTCAGTTAACGTCATTTTTCACACCAGGCGGCACGATGGTTATATCTGGCGAACATTAACACTCTCTCCTGAAGCTGACGAAGGAGCACATAACTTAGTGTGACAAAATAAACCCCCCAATAGAAGTTCCTCTCCAGAATCTGCAAGAAAGTACTATTTTTTCAAATTTTACAAATCAAACCACAAAATTAGTAAAATGTTGAACAAAAGTTAATCCTGTTCACAAATTAAGTGGATAATATTTGATGTACTATACTCTATGCAATTGACACTTGAGATCGAGTGGATTTCATAAATATAAACGTACTTCTAGGTTTCTGTTCCAGAACATTGAGTGTGATTTTGAAATTTGTTATTTTCCTAATAAATTAAACTTTTTTATATAGATTTTTTTAGCTAGTCCAACTCTATCTATTTTATTTATTTATTACTATAAAGATAATTCGATTTTCATTATTAATAAGGCAGTCCATTAAGAATTTGTTATGTTTTTGCAAATTATTCGCCATTTATTAACCATAAAAACTTTTGTTGTACAATAAATTAGCTGTAAATGTCATGCTTTGCCGCTGTACCACACAGTATGCACCGCACTATCAACAACCACCCATCACTGGCAGTAAACAATGTCGATAATACCGTTTCAGCACTCACGCAATGACGGCGCAGTGAAACGATAGCAACGGACTCGGAACTTAAGTTGTGTTGGTGTGGTAATAAAGAAGAATTTTTTTCTACACGAAATATAGAATAAATTTAATAAGTTTTTAACAATCTTTCTGTTCGAAAGTGTTAAAATTATAAACGGGCAATGCGGTTATATCCGGGAATCGTGTAATATTGAAAATAAATTGGTGTTTTTCCAAAGGTATACAAGAAATGAAAAAATGAAATGAATTTTTTTGCCATCATTGTCGTCGTCGTCGTGAATGTAAATTTTGGTTCTTGTCGGTGAAGAAGACGACGACAACGATGACGGCGGTGGCAGCGGCAGAGCAAATTTTGTGTGAATGAGAGAAATAAAAAAGAAATGAATTCAACTCCAATAGGGAGCCCGGAAAAATCCAATTGGAATGGTGGTATCCTCCAAAATTATGATGCATTGGAAATAAAAAAATCTAATTGATTAGGATAAAGTTTAGAAAATTTTGAAAGAAACGCCAATGGATTACTTTGACAAGTAAGAAAGTGCAAGACAAAAAAGAAAGAAATTAATAAATATATAAAAAATGTCATGATGTGCCGTTAGTATTATTGTTTAACAAAAAAAGAAAAATAAATGAAAGTGAGAATTGAAATTCTTATGGAAAACAAAATCATAAAAAAAATCAAATTATGGTGGCTCTGTCATGGATGTGTATTTTATTTTTTCATGGGCTCGTCATTTTTTCTGTTCGCCAAATGGAGGAGGAAACATATTGAGAGAATGCTCTAAGAAGAAGAATAAGCAAGCAAACAAGTAGAAGTGAACGAGAAAAAAGGTCAGAAAAAAATGAAAGAAAAGTGAAGTGATCAATATAAGAGCCAGAATACGGCCCATCATCCAATAAAAAAAGCTAGCAAGTCAAATAACAAAAATAATTGTGTGCGGAAAAATACAGAAATAACAACAACAACAACAAATAATAAGAATAATAATAATGTTAATATAATCTTAATTGAATGTGAATAGAGCTATTAAAGTTTAAATGAGCATTAATACAACAACAAAGCGCAAAATGAAGAAATGAATGTTGTGCCTTAGGGGCGAGTTTTCGGTCGGTGGCTTTGTCGTGTCGTGTGTCATTTTCTTAATTCGCAGCATAGCAGTAGCCGCCGCGTTTGGCAGCAGCAATGGGAAAACGACCCGAAAGAGGACTCGCGGACAGACATGTATTTGGTAGCCATATAGAGTGAACTGCTAATATATGTGAGAGTGTGTGTGTGCGGGTGTAATGGAGAAAAATGAAACTGCCGGT